GGGCGAGGAGGGGGCGGTGGAGGCCGTCCTCGGAAGGACGAAAACGCCACCGGGCAAAGGCTCGGTCGCGAATGCGAAGCAAGTCGTGGAGAATGCGTCGAGGTCTAAACAGCAGTATTCTGACAGTGGTTCGAAGGGTTCTGGTAAGCAAGGGGCGTCGAACGTGGCCGCGGTGGACGTAAACTCGGAGGCGAAGGGTGGCGAGCGCGCGGCCCAGCCGAACGATAGCCAGGATTCTCGTACGAATGTTAATAGATTATCTCTGAAAACTGTGCCTTGTAGTCCTAAGGATAACGGGGGAAAGTTTAACAGTCCGGACTTGGTCTCGAGCTGTTCGAATTCTAATCAAATCAGTACAAAGTCGCCGGACGTAGTTGGAAACAATCCAAAGGTTAATTTTCAGCCGAAGAACGTTCAAAAGACGCCCACGCTCTCGCGGGGCAGCGCCGCGAAAGCGCCCGCCACCCCCGTCAAACCGTTGAGCATTGCGTCCAAAGGAGGTGGCCTCGCGGAGAAGAAGAAGTCTCCGACCGGGGGTAACGCGAGTGCGATTAAATCGTTATCGGTGTCCGCGAAGGAATCGGCTTCGAGGGTCTCGCAGGCGAAACCGGGGGGGCAAAAGACGGAGGCGAAGGGCGGAGATTCGGGGGCGAAAACGAACCCGGGGGTGCAAAGGGCAGCGAGCAGCAAGTCGAACGTGGCCTCCCTCCAACAAAAATTCGAGGCGAATAAAAACGTAAACGCGGTCGCGTCACGGACGATACCGAGCGTGCACAAAGCGCAGCGCACAGTCGGTAAAACGACTGAAACGGCGAGTGTGAAGAAATAGAGCGGGTGGATGGAGCAGGAGGAAGAAGAAGATGAAGGAAAACTGGAAAGTGTTGTAGGATCTATTTCAAATATTCTAGTCTATCGATCGAATATTCGGATTGAAACGCGTAAACGCGAGAGATGTGTAACGATATATTTCCGTTCAAACGATATTTCTACGATGTTATTTTATTTAAAAAAAAAAAAATAAAAAAAAAAGAAAAAAAGACCAGCCACGTAAGGAAGTGGAGTCATAATAGTACAATGATCAATCGTTGGGTCGGGAAGCCGAGCGAAAGAACCGATTGATCGGAAATTACGCAAACTGTCAGAATACTGAGAGATTAGGTTGTATCGGGCGCAAAACCTGCGACGCAATATATTATCGTTGTAAATATAGTAGTTACTTAAAAATTCTAATATTTTTTGTAGAAATTATCCGTCAACGTTCGGATGTAACACGCGAAACATTAACGATCGTCGGGATATTTATCTTAAGAGCATTTTGTAAACGAAATAAGAAACAGAAATAAGCAACAATTATTTTCAAAAGTTTCACTCGATACCGCAAAAGGAACGCGTAAGAAATTATTGAATTCTGTGATAATACATGTAACGAGAGAATAATACAGAAACATCGTATCGTACATTATTATAAGTAGCAGATTATAGATGCGACCAAATCTATCATTTTATATATCGTATCGCGCGAAAAAAAAAAAAAAAAAAAACATTATGAAACTGGAGAATATAAATTAAATTTTCAAGAGGAGAAATTAGTTTCGAAAGGAATCCATATCCGAAGAAAAAGAAAATCTCTATGAAACAGTAGCTCTTTCCAAAGATTAACTAAGCATCGTCGTTAAAACATCGTGATTTTCGTGAATGCGATCGTACCTTTGAGATTCCTCTGCGAATCAAAATTTAGACGCGATTAGCTAACGATAAGAGAGCTTAAATGGTAGTAGTATGCTAGAGTTTTATGCTATGTTTGAAATCGAGGCAAAATTATTTCTACGATAAACGTATGTTAACGTATAACGAAGTAGAAATATTTTTGTTTAAAAACGCTATACGATCGTCCTTTTATTTTCGCACGATTCTTTGCATACAGTAAAATACGAATTTCGAACCTTCGGTGTTCGTTTGCTAGTTTTGCTAATATTTAACATCGTTAGATACGCAAAGAGACTAAGACGAATATTTATTTGACTGATCGATGTAAATATGTTTATAATGTAATAGATGTAAGTAACATTTTGTACAATGTACCTTCGTGCTCGCTAAGTTATAATTCGCGATCTACGCGTTTAAACGCATACATGCGACTTCAGCATTTAGCTTTTTCACGATATCTCGTTCGATCTGTTGTAAAGGGTGTAGTAAAATTCACCTGAATTAAAGGAGAAAAAAGAAAAGACGAAAAAAAATGGGTTTTATTGAACGATACAGTTGTAACATATTTTTGCATTTATTATTTCAACATAGCCATCTTTCGCGTATAAGTTTGTTCGCTTGTACGCCGCGATGTTTTAATTTATACAGTTCCTATGTACAGTCCTCTCGATATGTTGAAACAATTTAGGGACCGCAACTCAAGTTCAATAAAGCTTTATAATAATCATCCATTCTTCGAGCATCGTTTATAATCATTCACCGCTTTTCTTCTTTCGACAAAATGATGTCGTATGTATGACTCTAGTGTAAAGACAATCAGACGTTTTGCACAGCATACGACTGTAAAACGGAAAGTGAAAGCCCTTCGAGAAAACCTTGGCCGTTCCATAATCGTTTTAGTAAGATTTTTTTTTTTTTTTTAGGAAATACGATTCATTTTTAGATTTCATCGATTAGATTATAATTAGATTTGTTAAATGAAATTGTTTTTCAAAACTCACGACTTACAGCCTAATAGAATTAACAGACATGTTACATTGTCCGTTCAATACCAAAGATAAGTTACGTTCCACGTGTTAAAGGGCCAAGATATACGTTATCGTAACTACTTAAACGTTGTCTCATAACTTGTATATTTCCTAATGCATAGTAAAGTTACAATAAATTCTTTATTCCATGCATCCGTTTTATCCTTCATTAATGACGGATCAATGAAGAGGTAAGTAAATGATTAAATTATAATAATTAAATTTCATAATTTGTACATTCTTAAAAGTAATAGAAGATAGAAAGTAAAATTTTCAAAAAAATTTTTAAAAAAAATGTATATCATTTATTTGATTCAAAAAAAAAAAAAAGGATCAAACGATACAATTATATCGTTTATTATTTATCTTTAATACTGAGCATAAAGTAATGTTTTCTGTTATGAATGAAAAAAAGAGAATTTAAATCTTTGAATTAATTATAAATAAAAAATAAGGATATTAATAATTATATTTTGTAATAAATTTTTTTGTTTTTATTAAACAAATTACAAAGAAGACAATTTACAGAGAAAATACAAATAAATAATTTAAATTGTCAAAAATTTAAACTATAAAATATTTTGAGTGGAAGACTTTTTCTCCTCGTGTCATTTCCCTCCAATAGGATTTCATTGAGCAGACCGTAGCCTATAAAGAACGAATTTACTAATACGTTTATAATATTGTAAACATTATTGTGAAACAATTACGAATATACCATTTACTTTTATGTTATGCACATTCATGCAAAAATTTAATTTTAGAAAATAAGATTTATATTTTATTAAAAGAAATTACATTTTCCTATATTTAACGTATCATAATGAAATATTCAATTTTCATGATCATAAATTTACAAGTCACATAAGTGTTGAATTACACGTTTATTGATCGCTGTCAGTGACAATAATGTAAGAAACTTGTGAATGCTTCGTTGCCAAATGTTACTGAACTACCCCACAAACACTATGTATTTTCCTATATTAGAGTACGCTGTTGTGATTTGTCAAAGAAGCGATAACCTAACAGCTATATTGAATATTAGAAAAAATTTCGCATAAAATTTCTTACATGAAATTGTAAGAACTGTTGGTATTCGATAATTTATTTAAAGTTTTTCGTTTTTATTATAAAATAAAGTTTACGCAAATTTCGCGTAATGTTATAATTCAAATTTTTGTAGAATCGTTACACGACAAAAAATTAATCGTGCTTATTAGAATTTTATATTTTTATATGGTGAAAATGGCCCATGCTCCATTACCGAAACCTATTTGTAAACCGATAAATACGTCTAAGATGTGTCCATCTGATTTCACTACTACTTTATCTGATGTAAGTTTGACATTTACGATATTTATATATTTTATTACCTTATTGCATTTTATTTTATTATAGGTGTTACAATCGGACCCAGTAAAAAGATTGTTTAATCAACCAAATATTATTATTAAAACAATACCTTTAAAAATAAATACAAATTCTGGGTCAAACAATAATGGTTTCATGAATAAAATACATAATACAGATACAAATATAAATAAACCAAAGCAATCAGAATTATCTGTAATTCCTCTACAGACGAATCAAGAAGAAAATATAGAAGATAAAAATTTATTGCCTGCTAAGAAACAAGGTAAATCAGAAATCACATTAGTTCCTGTTAAAAGGGAAAAGAAACCTTGTGGTCATTATGAACCTTGTGAAAATATTATATGTGATGTGGCAGTACAACAATATGTAGATCGTGAAGGATCTTCACCCATGTTAGCTATTAATATAGAGGAAAGTGAAATAAATGCACCTGTTTCAAAACATTGTGCAAGTAAAATGTGTGATGCACTAAGCATCGATCATGATCGTTGTCGCAGAGCTGTGATAAGATTGAATAGGTGTAATCAGTCAACAGCTTGTGATATTTGTGGTATTACGCTAAAAACACAAAGATCTCGTATATATCATAAGAATTGTACAAGAAGAAATGAATATAGACATAATGAAACAAGTAGTGCTAAAATATTAAAAGAAAGAATGAGACAACGAGAAATTCAATTAATAGAAGCTTCTAAAATGAAAAAAAATGATTATACAGATCCAGTTATGGGATATAGTCTTGCAATGGAAACATTGAGAAATAACAAAGAATTGATTATTATTCCAAAATCAGTTCCCATAAAACAGCAACAACAACAACCACAACCACCATCAACACCAACAATTACTATAAATACTACAACACAAATCAATAATGTAAATAACGTTTTTGGAAAATTTTTACCTAGTATGCCAATTGTATTACCACAACAAAGTATAGTTCTTGGCAAAGCAGAATCTTCTAATGAAAATAATATAACTACTCCCATACAAATAGCTTTACCAGATACTTTAACTACATCGCTTATAACAACAACTAGTACAGTTCCTTTATCTCAAAATCATTATGTTACATTTACAACACAAACTAATCCACATTCAATACCAATAAGTGATATAATCTTGCCACAGTCGCAAATTGTGACAACACCCATTCAACCTAAACCACTCTTAACACCTATACGTGTTGTGCCTATAACTAATTTAATAACACAACCATCTTTATTACACCAAACACAGGGTATACCAAAGTTTTGTATTATGCCAGACAATACAATACCATCATTAACTATAACAAATCCACAATCTATTCAATGTCCAACACCTGTGCCAAAGGTTGAGTCTCCAAATGATGTGAAAACAACTTCTCAGAAAAAAAAAAAAACAATGATGAAAAAAAAACGCAAACTTAGAAAGAAAGATTTTAAATGTGATTATTGTCTTAAAAATTTTAGTACAGATTGGTATTTTAAAATGCATGTTGCTATGCATACAGGTGAAAAACGGTTTATCTGTAAAATATGTACACAATCATTTAATAATCGATATGACATGAAAAGACATATGTCAAATGATCATAACAGTGAAACTATTGCTTCTGATACATGTGTTCAGGAAGCTACTGAAGATTCACGTAAGTATTTTGATTGTAATATCATATATTTCTCTATTGATCATTTAAAGCATCACAAACAAAAGTATAAAAATATGAAACAGATATAGTAAAAATTTCTTCTGATGTTATAGAGCCAAAAATGAATCTAGATTCACATCAAGAAGTAAAAAAAGAGGATAAAACAAATGGATACATTAGCATGCCTACTCAAGACATTATGAAAAATATGAAAACAGAATTGTGTCATGAAGTATAAATCATTCCAATTTAAATAATTCATTAAAATTCATTAAAACAAATAATATTTAAAATTGAAAAAATATGTCTGTTATAAATTTTGAAGTTCACTTGTAAAAATATATGTAAAATGTGCTTAAACATTATATTTAATCAAATATTGATTTTTTGGTAGCAAATTTTATATTTAATTACAAAAATTCGAGTATATTGATATTTTTTCAATTAATACATTATATCTTATCCTTTATTTTAATTTCAATAAAATTAAAATAATTATTTTAATTTCAATAAAATTTCAATACAATTAAAATAATTTCAATAAAATTTCAATAAAATTAAAATAATTATTGTAATATTATAAATCCTATGGTATAATGATATGAATGATAAATCTTTTTACTATATTTGCTTTATTTAGAAAATATATAATAAAAATATTTTTATCAACATTATAAAGATATGTATTATAAAACTGAAAAAAGTTTATTTTTTAAATAAGAACTACTACAAGAATTGATAAACAAAAAAATTTAGATATAATTGTATATTATTAAATTCTAAACTGTGATATATGGCCATCTTTCCGCTATAACTTTTTTCACGTAAAAGTTTGTCGTTTTTAACATAAATTTAAGCACATTAAGAAATTTTTATATATTAAAATGAAATCACAATTATGCACGTGGACGAAAATATGATTACACATATCTTAAAATGCACAAAAAAAGAGAAATCATATGGTTTATATTTTAGAATCAGAAAATTTGTTATTAAATGTAAGAGTATTTTATACGGAAAAGAAGTTAAATGCCATTATTCTGATGTATAAATACATATAAGTTATATTGTGTTCCTTTTATTTTTAATTTAGTAGTTGTTTACTTAAAAGTATTCATTTACATAGGCTAAAATTTATGTACAATAGATATATTTATATACATTTTATTATTGAATCATCTTTTTTCAAAAAAAAAAATCTGATATATTCTTCAAAAAATTCATTTTTAGAAATAATATTAAATGCATAAGTACTTTTTTGTTTGATGAATTTAGTATGTAGAATAAGATGATAAAAAGCTAATTTGAGCTTTGAAATTTATTTTAATATATTTCTGAATGTTAATAAAAATGTAGATTAAAAATTTTACAAAAATATAAAGTTCCTTAATCAGGAAAATGAATATCATGTGCCTTCAAAATTTTAATGTTCCTTATATAAATAAATACAGTTAATTCATAAAAATAAATAATGATTATGGATAATATTGATTTAAATAATTTGTTTCATCATTTTAAACTGACAATAAAAAATATTAACAATTTTAGTGGAATCATGATTATGATGAATAATGATTAAAATATTTTTATTTGAAAATAAGATTATAAATGAAAATTATCTGTGCATTTAATATTACTAATTCTCAATGCACAAAAAATATAATAAAAAATAGAAGGAAATTTTGGAAATATCATTTGTGTTATGAAAATATATTTGTAATAGAGAATATTGAAAAACTTATTTTTGAAATAAAAATTACTAAAATGTTATGTTAAATATATCTTGAAAAAATATATCATAAAAAACTATTTGTTGTATTGTATTTACATAAAAGGTTTTAAAAATAAATCATTATTTAATATCAAAATTATTTATTCAAAATAGTTTTCTTTTTAAACAAAAAATATTAATCATGAATATATTTTATGAATGTTGAATAAATATAATGTTAACATTGCATAATGAAATTAATCAATTATTTCTTTAGGAATATAAGTTACATCTCTGTTTTATGTTGTATTTTTATTTTGATTCATATCCTGTCTAAAGCCTCTAACATTATTACACTATTTCCACGTATTACCTACAATAATAAAATGCATTTATTAAATCAACAGAAATTTAATTCTTCTTATTAAAAAATAAATTTTTATCTTACCACCATTCCAATATTGTTTTTAGTACCATCCTTACATTCTTCAATACTTTCATCTATAACCATGTTCATAAATGGATCAAATCCACGTAAAATTCCAATAACATGTCTTCCTCCATTTAATTTTACTAAAAAAAAAGATAAATTTCATGAATTACATATTAATATATTTGCAGTATTATTATTGCAATGATATATTATTTTATATATTAATATAATTTTATAATTAATAATATTTAATATGTATACTCACATGATAATTTTTTATCCATATATCTATAAAAAAAAATAAAATTTTATTATATTTTATTTTATTTGAAATATATATAAATTTAATATTCAATTTTAACATAACCTCTATGAACGAAAAAATTTACTTATAAACTTACTTTTTAAGTTCCGGAGGATGTGCTTTACTCATTTTTAAATTAGTATTTTATGTTTTACTTTTTAACTAAGAACGAATTAATATTTATATCAATTTCACTTGTTTCTTGACTTTATTCTCTTCTATTCAATGATAAAATTAGTGGTAAATATACCAAAACCATAACCAATGTATACAATAGAATATAAAATTAGTATTATAAAGAAAAGTGAGAGAAGGATAAAGATAGTATAAAAATTAAGGAATCAGCGCCATCTTCAAAATGAAACTCAATACACAAGAAGAGCAAATAAAGAAGATAAAATAAAAATTGATAGTACCATCTTTGAAGAATCAAAAATATTTCTTCAAAGATAAGATAAGATAGAGACAATTAAGAATTAAAAATCAGTATCATTTTTTAAATGTTAAAAACATCTTAAAAAACATTCAAGAAATGAAATTGAATCTTAATTCCTCAATTCTCTACTTTATCTGCTATATATTTGATACATATCTCATACTTTTATACATATATACTTTTTTATTTGTTTCTGAATATATGACACATAAATAAATAGAATTCTATTATTAAATATATAAACAAAATGTTAGAAAAAAAATTTGCTTTTGAAAATATAGCTATTTAAAGAGATAAGTTTAAAGTAAATATAAAATAAGTTTAATATATATTAAATTATTTATATAAATATTATTTAACTTTTAGAAAATTTTTATATATTACTTCTTTTAACATTATATTCTGTTAATATAAAATCTTAAAATTTGAAAACTTTGTCAGTGATAAAAAATGTAGAATTTTGAACATTCTAAAAAAAATTCACATGACATCTGCTTTCTAATTATATTCTCCTCTTACAAAATCATAAATTTAGAAAAAAATTTTGCTGCTTGAATATTCGATTTTGTATTAGGAAAATATAATTGGAAAAGAGATAGCATAAAAGATTTTTTTAATATTACAAGTTTTTGAATAAATTTTATATATTTGTTAAATACTTTTGTATTGTTTATTCATATTTTTTTTATAGATCTCATTTGCAATATTGTATATACATTTTTTATACATTTTTCTTAATTTTAAAAATATTTATCTTTACATACTCTCTAACGAGTGTCAATTTTTCTATATTAATTATCCTTCTATAACTTTGTTAGATTTAAAAAATTCATCTAATTTTATTATCTGAAATATTTTGTTAATTTTGATTAATATTAAACAATAAAAGTAAATGAATAGGAATTATCTTAAAAATATATATATATATATATACATCGTAGAACGATCATTTTTATTTTTCTTTCTCTATACTATACATGAAGTAAGTGTTACAATATAATATACATTTGACTCAACAAAACAATATAACGAGTATTTAATTTTGTCAATAGATTTTGGTCACTTTTTAAATTAAAATATTCCTATTGCATATGTATGTGCATAACATTTATACACGCGCATCGTAACATTTATGCACATTATACATGCGCATATAATCTCATTGTTTAACATATTACATGTATATTTTTGCAAGGTACTGTCAGTACAAAATATAAGTACATTCATATTTATAAAAGTACAACGTTTATTTGCCGTCGAAGAAATAATGTTTCTCTTAAAACATCTCGTAAAGTATCAGAGCAAGCAAGAATTTCGATAGTATAATTTTCATTTTAATTTCATCATAATTGAATTTTATTAAAAATTTTAAATTTCTATTTATTTTCT